GAGCAGGGAGCCCGATGTGGGGCTCGATCCCAGGACCCCGGGATCATGACCTGAGCCGAAGGCAGACGCTTAACAACTGAGCCACCCAGGCACCCCGACAATTCTGTACAATAGATAATACAGTTATTTTTCCTTCCCTATCTTGCCACTTAGTTGCAAATTGGAACATAAGTTCTGAAAATCTTTATACTGCTTTGGATGATGAGGGGAGAGACTGTCAGAAAAAGGGGATACAATTAGGGGATTTCTAGAAAATTTCCTTGTCAAAATATTGGACGATGTGTATTTCTGCTTTTTTCAGTCTTCAAATAGAAATCTACTTGAAGAAAAATGGGAAGCTTGTACTATGTAGACAGAATTGGAAAAATATTATGGTGTATGGTTTGAATATATAGGAAACAAAAAGCTTTTCCCTCAAAAAATTGTTGAATGTCACTCATTTTACCGGGTTATTTATTTTTCTCAGTATTGTAGAAATGAATTCATTGTTCTGTATTATAATAAATATTTTGGTATTATGAATTAATGTTAAAAACAGTACTCATGGTATTTATACCATCTTTAGGGTGGAAAAATGGCATATTACGAAATGCGAGCTGAGCACAGTGTGGATATAGATGTGGATATTGATTGGCCTATTGCAGAACAAAGAGTATTAAGGTAAAAAGAAGACTTGCACAGCCTTTGCACTGGACCCTGACATGTGGCATTTTCTAGATAACTAATTTTTGATATTCCAAACATTTAGGATCTTTGCAATTAGTCTCTTCATGTGAGGAAGACATACACATAAAATATGCCTATAGGTGGCTTATTCAGTAACTTGAGAAACACATAGTCTGGTTAGACCACTCTACTCAAAGGTCTCGCACTGGAAGCTGAGGTGTATATGTGATGTAAATGTGAAGGGTCATGTTTGGATAACTGAGTGGGAATGGTTATTAAGTGTACTGGTGTTAGCCATTTGAGAGGGAGTGATTAGTATTGCACTTGTACTCAGAGGTCTATTTTGGTTTCTTTTAGATATGGCTATTTTGGCAAAGAGAAGCTTAAGGAGATAAAACTTTTGGTTTGCAATATTGATGGATGTCTCACCAATGGCCACATTTATATATCAGGAGACCAAAAAGAAATAATATCTTATGATGTAAAAGATGCTATTGGGATAAGTTTATTAAAGAAAAGTGGTATTGAGGTATGTGCCCCCTGAATATAGTGATGTTTTTTAAGATGATGATTCAGGGTCAAAGAACATGTGAGGGAAATAAGAGATATAAATTTTTAGTATTCTCTATTAAAATGTCTGAAATTTAGCCTTCACATGCCTAGAAAATTGTCATACTTTTATTCTTAGATGAATAAAATTAGGAATTTGTCAATCAGCACATAATATTTCTTGGTTATTCAGTAAGTATAAACACATTATTTTTAAATAGGAACTATCTAGCAATTCCCATAGGATCGTTCAACAAGAAAAATTTCATAAAAAATAGGTATCAGCATTTAGAAAAAAAAAAAATCTTGTGGATTCCTAAGATGTAGCTTATTCTTATTGAAAATTTTAATTCAAAGTAACTTATTTTCAAAAATGAAAGCTAAGATAATTTCTTATAATTCCCTAGAAATCTTAAGTATATGTTCCAAAGCAGCACAAGAGATAGGTTGTAGGCTTTCCTCTGGATAAATCGAATTATAGGAGAATCTTAAGTTAGTATCAGACAATGTATATTTTTTAACCTGCAGATAGGATCCTTCCCACTGTAGAAAACAGTGTCTTTTACCTTTATTGGACTATTAGAAAATGTTGTAAAGATTCATCATTTTGCCTGTGATTTTACTTAATTGGTCCTTCAGAAGGCCACTCATTTGTGACTCATATTATTTACCAGGTGTTATTTTATTTTTATTAGGAAATACCTGTTTATTTATTTTCTCATTTGCCCCTTCTTTCTTTCTTTTCTTTTTTTATTTTTTAAGGTGAGGTTAATTTCAGAAAGGGCCTGTTCAAAGCAGACACTCTCTTCCTTAAAACTGGATTGCAAAATGGAAGTCAACGTACCAGACAAGCTAGCAGTTCTGGATGAGTGGAGAAAAGAAATGGGCCTGTGCTGGAAAGAAGTGGCGTATCTTGGTTGGTATCTTATTATTCAGCCATCATAAAGTGGACCAGGATTTTTTTTTTTTTAAGAAATAGAGAAATAAAAAAGAAAATTCCCAAGATTTTCATAATTGTAGAGAAATAGGAACTCTCTACACTACTGAGGAAGGTACTAAATTTCTGGAGGTTAGTTTGGTAGTCCCTATCAGTTGTATCCTAGTAGAATGATTCCTGACACATGCTTTTGAGTCAGACCACACCTGACTGGCCAGTTTGGGTAAGGTAAGCCTTCATTTCCTCCCCTGTAAACTGGAAATGTCAAGAGTGCCTGTGTCATAGGTCTGTTGGAGGAAGCAATGAGATAATCTGGGTAAAGCACTTAGCAGATTCCCCACATATAGGAAGTACACTCTGGATGATGTCTGCTTTCTTAAAAATGTCCCTAGTTTTAACTCTTAAGTTCCAACCCCAGGAAGGAAATTGGACAAATGTGCTAATAATGGAGGAAAAAAAAAAAGAAGAGCCCACTTAAATATCCTGCAAACATAGAATATCCACAAAATGGAATGCTCTGCAACCATGAAAGCCAGTGCTGTAATCTGTATCGACAGGGTCAGATGTCACAAGGTTGTCACGTTGGCATTTAGCAGATATGCTATGTGCAGGCTTGGGGTTGGTTGCTGGGACTTACTGCTGCCAGAGCTTGCAGTCTGATATATACATTTTAGATATTAATGACAAGTTATTAAAATACATATAACCTAAGCCATGCATGAAATAAGTAGTTACAAGGGTAATATGGGCCTCCAAAGAAGCAACACAGAAATGCTTTGGGAGCAGGTCATCTGAAGACTTCAGGACTAGCCTTTGAACCGCATGCAAAGATTCAGTGAAGAATACTACAGAGTCCTTGATAGAAAATGATCCAGTTTTTGTAAGGAGAAAACAGTTTTAGTGGGACAAATTCCAGGTATACTAAGTATCTGTGCGACCCTCAGTGAGCTTCTCCAAGCCTTGGTTTTCCTATTTATAGTATAAACACAAATCAAACTTTATAAGGCTATTGGAAAGAAAATTGAAAATAATATAGAATACCTGGTAGAGTGCCTGCAGGTAGTAATAATAATGTGTATCACTTATATCGGTAAAATTATGTAATTGCATATGCCAAAATACAGTGATTATCCATAAATAGTGGTAATTAAGATGATATTGATTTGGTTTTTGCCTTGACTTTAAAAAAAATGTTTCTACCAAGAATATGCATTACTTACATAATATTAAAAAAAAAAAACTATAAAAAGCAGAGGCTAGAAAACAAGAAAATAGAGAATAGACTTCAAATTTTAATTTAAAATCAGAGCACTATTTAGCATGGGTCACATAAATGTATGAAAATGTTTTCCTGGGGCACCTGGGTGGCTCAGATGGTTAAGCATCTGCCTTCAGCTCAGGTCATGATCCCAGGGTCCTGGGATCAAGCCCCACAATGGGCTCCCTGCTCAGCAGGGAGCCTGCTTCTCACTCCCACTCCCCCTGTTTGTGCTCTCTCACTCTCTCTCTCAAATAAAATCTTAAAAGAAAAAGAAAATGTATTCCTTAAAAATACCAACACTTATATAGGTAAATTTTACGAAATACAGCTTAGTTTCAGGGGTAGATTATGCAAATTAAATACTTGAATTTTCATCATCTTTCAGTGAAAAAATTCAGATTTCAATACATTTAATCATTTAAAAATTTTCACTAGATAAATGTGGAACAGATTTAAAACAAATTCTTTTTTTAATGAGCATTTTATTAGTAGTAGTTGGTCTATGGTATAATAATAATTATACTCAGAATGGAGAATCTGAGGTACTGGGTGCTTCTGAAATTCATCCTATCAACACAAAACAGAAAGGGGGAGAGCAGGGCAGGTGGAGAAAGGGTGTGGTTTTGTCAGTGTGATGGTAATTCTTCAACAAATAAGTGATGTACAAATCAAAGAGAACTGTTACAGATTAAAAGTACTTAAAATATAGATCAACAGAATGCAGTATGTGGACTTTGGCTTCTGAAGCAAACAGATCAACTATAAAAGAGAAAATTTGAGACAGTGGGATATTTGAGCACATACTAAGTTACTAGGTGATATTTCTTTTAAGATTTTTTATTTATTTATTTGAGAGAGAAAGAGAGAGAGAGAGCACAAGCGGGAGAGGGAGAAGCAGACTCCCAGCTGAGTAGGGAGCCCGACATGGGGCTTGATCCCAGGACCCCGGGATCATGACCTGTGCCGAAGGCAGACGCTTAACCCACCGAACCACCCAGGAGCCCCAAGATGATATTAAGGAATTGTGGGTTTTGTTAGTTTGATGATACTGTCTCACTTTTTAAAAAAGTAGACTGATCTACTAGAGATAGATATGTGTTAGAGGTAGAGGCTGAAGAGTCTTGGGGTAAAACGTGATGTCTAGGAATTCCTTCCTAGCCCTCCCTCTAAAAAATTAACGGGTAGAGCAAAGAGAAAAACACTGATAAATGATCCAAAACATTGATAATTATTCCACATGAACTTGGGGTTCTTGCATGTGCTTGGGATGTTTTTTTAATAAAAATTTTAGATAATTCATAATTTATAGATAGAATTTCTCATAAATCTAATACGCATGGCAATCAGAAATTATAATCCTTTCTCCTTCTTTAACTGATAAGAATTGGTTTTGGATTGCTTAAGGAAAACCCTAGACCTCAATTATACTTGTAAATACTTTAACATATTTGTTCCACCTAATCTTTGGTATTCCCATGCAGTGCTTGAGGTCTTGCTGAAGCTACCAGAATTACTTACTGGTTGCTGTTTGCGTTATTAGAACTGAGTATGTTTCGTGTCCTTAAATACTCACGCAGTGTTTCTTTTACTTGCTAGGAAATGAAGTGTCTGACGAGGAGTGCTTGAAGAAAGTGGGCCTGAGTGGCGTGCCTGCTGATGCCTGCTCCACCGCCCAGAAGGCTGTTGGATATATTTGCAAATGTAATGGTGGCCGTGGTGCCCTCCGAGAGTTTGCAGAGCACATTTTCCTACTAATGGAAAAGGTTATTAACTCATGCCAAAAATAGAAATTAGTGTAATGTTAGGAAAGAAAGTATACAGCCTTCTTCAGCCACCTTTATTTTTGATTAAGTACAATTCCATGTTGTAATGTTACAGAGAGTGTGATTTGACCTGTGATGTATCTTAATATATTTTAAATCAGTCTTCTCAAATTGTCACTCCCAAAACCTTCTACAAAATAATTGTGCTCTACTTTTCTCTTTATGCAAGATAATTATTTAGAGATTAATACAGTCTTTCTCAGATTTTTAGTAAATGCAAGTAAGAACATCATCTAAATTGACTTTGTATTGTACCCTGTTAAACTGTGTGTTTGTGTGCTTTTAATGATGCTGAGATTTTATTTATTTGGGGACATTGTGTCTGGTAAGACATGCCCTTCTATTAATTAATAAAATTACATTTCACAAACTTGATGAAAACTGTCTTTTTTTTTTCTTTTTAAGATTTTATTTATTTATTTGAGAGAGAGAGAGCCCAAGAGGGGGTAGGGTCAGAGGGAGAGGCAGACTCCCTGCCGAGCAGGGAGCCCGATGCGGGACTCGATCCCGGGACT